TTATGATCTGGGTTAAAGTTGTACACAGATCATCCTGGACACCGCCTTCCATTCCAAGCACAGAAGTATGACAAGGAAAAGCATTAGCTCAAAATTGATGCATCTTCAATACAAAAAAGCTTGCCATTACTGAAAGGATAAAGCTCAGTGCTTGCTTTTATTTCTTCATTTCATCTGCTCCCCCCCTTGAATTTGCTTCCTTTCCCTTCTGCCCCTCCTGATGTACCTGTGAAGAAACTCTTAGCTCTTCTCCCAGCTGTGGCTCCAACTTCAGCAGTAGTTCTGGTACACGAAGGAAGTCCCAGGTTTCTTTTGTCTCACATATCAGCAGGCCCAGGCTGGCTCCACCCGCTTTGTTGCTCCTTGCTTTTAAAAGGCCCATCAGGCTTGATAAGCACAAGGTGGACTCAGTACTATTGGGATGATTTTTTAAAATACTGTACTTGCAAACCCACAGGTCATGCTGGAATTAAGTTGAAGCCCAGGGCTCCTAAAAATTAGGCCTAACGTGACTCTCCAGCTCTTCTGGGGGGAGTTGCTTGGCATATTTTTACAGAAGTATATCTATTTAAAAAAAATATCCTCCCTCTGCCCCAAAGTTAGAAATTAAATTTTTGAAAACAGGTTTTTTTGGAAAGCTGTGAGACTTGTAAACCTATCAAACTGGTTATCAGAATGTAACATGTTGATGCCAATTTTAAACCTAGGAAATTAGACCTCCACTGTGAAATCAGAGGGGGAAAAATAATTTTTTTCACAGTATTTTGTCTCTGTTTTGTTAGTCACCATGACTGTTGGGTACATTTAAGAATCAATGGTTTAAGTCCAATTTTTATGTCTTTTTATGCAACAAACTATGTCACTTTGTACATAAGGCCTAATTTCAGAAGTATTTAGACATGAAAAACTGTAGGTTTGGAAAATGCTGCTAGGGCGTGCATCCCTAGACATTTAAATACTCTTGAAAAAACTAACCTCTAAGAACTTTTGTGCTAGGTCCAACCTGACCAGCTTCTAAGGAACTCCATCAATCCTTGCACCGATTCCTACTAGCAAGTGTGCTATATCTTGGTAGTGACAACCTAGGCAAATCCACCAAGCAGATGCAGTAGAAAGGAGGTAACCAACAACAGATAAGCATTGCATGGTGCTTTAGGCAAGAAAGCCTAAATAGTAGAGGTGGTGCCAGTCTCAGCATCTATTCTTTTCTCTCTTACACCAATTAACTCTATTTGCTTCAGTGAAAGTACTACTCCTGTTTTGCATCAGGTCAATTACAGAAATAAATAACGGTTAGGGGCAGACTTAGTTTTTGTTCTTTCTTTCTTTCTTTTAAAAAGAGGAAATGTTATTTTAAAACTAAACCAAAAACTTGTTCAAAAAGCTCTGCTACAATAAGTGAGAATCATTTGTTCAGGGTGCTTACTCTTTTCTTGCACTACAGAAATTTGCTTAAATTTCTGGTCCCACCTGCACTGCAAAAGCTACCACCTTGTAACCCAGTATCTCCCCAGTATAATCTTTCTATTTGTAAGGTGCCAGGTAAGTACAATCTTATAGCTCAGCTCTCAGTAGATACAGAATCCAGTGTTATGTCTCAGTGAGTGAGTCTACACAAGACATTTACTGCAAAGTAAACTAATTAGGTCCACAGTGAATGTCATCTATCTACATATGTGCTCCTATTAGGCTGGAGTAAGGTAATTAACTCTGCAGCAAGGTAGTACTTGTAAATACAAGTACTATCCTGCTTCAGCAGTTCTTACTTCACAGCAGCACACATGTAGACGCTGCTCCAGCTGGCTGGGGCATGAAGGTGCTTTGGTGTGGGGGCTGCCTGTGAGCTTGCCCCATGCAGAAGCAGCCTCCTGCTCCAGCCAGCCCCTTTGCAGCACTTTGAGCTGGGTTGGAGCAGCCCTAGGCCATCAGGCAAACCCCTTGGGCCCCTGCCAGCTGGGGCTGATCCAACCTGGCTCAATGTGCTGTGGTCCCAGGCACATGTGTAAATGGCACTCTGTGCACACACTGGTGCAATAATCACCAGTTTCTTCCATCATATTAATATGGATATGTAGATGTGCCCAGTGAAGACAAGTTGTTCTGCCACTTTTAGTACCATTGCAGAAGGCTACATGCTGGAATAGTGTTTTAACTAAATCATAGGCTGCTATGTTAGGAGTGGATCACTGACAAGATTTTGTAAAGGCAAATTCAAAACAGTTATACTTCATTTATACCTTTTCCCTTATTCCTCAAGCATCTTTTATCCCAGCTCACTTCCGAACATCTCCAGGAAGACAATTTATTGCAAAAGCATAAAAAGTTGGAGACTTGGATCTAGGTTTTGAGAGGCACTTAATGCCTATTGATTTCTCCTACATTGAATCAATGGGAATTAGGGGCATCAATATCTTTAGAAATCCAGTTGTAACCCTTGCTCTCTCCATGGCCAATGTTCTCTTCCTCTTGTTTTGTCATCTCCCCTATCACTATTAGACTAACTTCTCAAGGAAAAGACATCCAGTCCTCTCACTACTAAACCTGGAGGGCAAACCTGTTAGGTGGGAAAGCTGCTCCTTTGCATTCACGCTTCTGTCACACCATCCATGAAAGTGGACATGACTATATTGTAGGAAGTAAAAATTCAGTTAGAAAAAATGGTATAAAGTTTGGACTACCTCAGCCCCTGCCATCTAACTAGTGCTTCCTCTTTTCCAGCAGCTACCAATTCCAGCAGCTTTTAAAACAGAGAGAGCAACTTGATCTGACTCCGCTGTCACCGATACTTCACCGGAAGGATAAGAAACTCACTGTTGCAATAGAACCTGGGGTCAGTTTTGTTCAATGTCTTCATCAGCAACCTGGAAGATGGTATAGAGCACACCCTTGGAAAGCTTGCTGATGACACCAAGCTGGAGGGAGTAGTAGATACACTGGAGGGTAGGGCTAGGACTCAGTGTGACCTAGACAAATTGGAGGATTGGGCCAAAAGAAGTCTCATGAGGTTCAAAAAGGACAAGTGCAAACTGCATTTAGGACAGAACCAGCCCATGCACTGGAACAGGCTGGGGCCTGCCTGGCTGGGCAGCCGCTCTGCAGAAAAGGACCTGGGGGTTACAGTGGACAATAAGCTGAGTACAAGTCAACAGTGTGCCCATGTTGCCACAAAGGCTAATGGCATAGTGGGTTGTATTGGGAGGTACTGTTGCCAGTAGATCAAGGAAAGTGATTATTCCCCTCTATTTGGCACTGGTGAGGCCACATCTGGAGTACTGTGTGCAGTTTTGAGCCCAACACTACAGAAAGGATGTAGACAAACTGGAGAGAGTCCAGCAGAGAGCAACAAAAATAGTGAGGGGACTGGGGGACATGACTTATGGGGGAACTGGATGTATTTAGTCTGCAGAAGGAGACCAAGAGGGGACTTAATAGTAGGCTTCAACTACCTGAAGAGGGGTTCAAAAAAAGGATGGAACTAGACTCATTTCAGTGGTGACAGATGACAGAACAAGGAGCAATGGTCTCAAGTTACAGCAAGGGAAGCTGAAGTTAGATATTAGGAAGAATTCTCACTAGGAGGGTAGTAAAACACTGGACAGGTTACCCAGAAAGGTGGTGCAATCTCCCATCCTTGGAGGTTTTCAAGACCCAGTTAGATGAAGCTTTGGCTGGGATGATCTAGTTTAGGATCATAGGTGATGGGGGGCACTTATCCCACCTCCCCCCCCCCCCCCCCGAGATTGGTCCTTGCCCCCGAGGATGTGGGCGCACCGAGAAAGGCCAGCAACTTCCCCTGCCCCCCAGTCATCAATCAGCAGTTGCCCATGTTGAGGATGTCCCTGCTTTGAGCAGGGAATTGGACCAGTTGACCTCCTGAGGTCCCTTCCAACCCTAACTTTAATTCTATGACCAGCCTCAGATGTGAAACTGGGCTTTCATGTCTGCTCCTAAGATATACTGTAGTAGGTAGTACAGTCAATTCAAGAACCTATAACAAATTTACATTCCCTCTGAAATACGGCGATACAGCTACATACTACACACTCTTCTCTCACCCATGATGGGGACACCTTTTAAATTCCAGACTTGAAGCACAGCTAGCACCACTCACTCTAACTGGTCATCAGAACTATCTCCGAGAGAGCGAGAGATACTTTACGTATGCTTACCGCTGAGTCCACTGTACTGGTTCAGCACTTCAACAGTAAGTTTGAATTTTAGTAAAATATGTGGCAGAGCTAGGAATGCAAGTCCTGAAGTTGAACTACAACCTCACACAGAACAGGACACATGGGATGAGTGGATTTTGTGGCGCACCCTTTACCAAGGAAGTTGCTCAAACTACATTTGTCCTTTTGACAGCACACAGCTGGTCCAAGGATCATAGTCCGACTTCTAGTGCCTAGCATGGAATTTCTCTCAGGCATATACAGGGTACCCACTTTGCATCACTGTTGAAAGGGCCTTCTAGAGTCAGGAAAACTTCAGCAGAGCATCACCCATTCTCCACTACTATGGGTGGTAATAAAACTTCTATGGTTAGTGGCAATTTCAAACTGCTGCTGGGCAATTATTGTTGCATCTGGGATGACCCTCAAAACCCATGAGTCAGAACAACTCGGCCACCTACTCTGTACCACGCAGAACTCCAGAATAAGATAATCCAGCCATGTACTTTTCCAAATAAGAAGAATATTTAAAAGCTCCATCTATGTAACTGGCATCTGTTGAACTATCAATTGGTGTGTGTTAAGTTGATGATTTAGTACTCTTGTCCCTCACAATTAGATCACAGAAAAAAAAATGCTGGGAGAGGGAGAGCAATACAGCTGGATAAGTTTGGAGTCATTCTTGACAAACTAGTTTTTCTATTAAATCCCTAATGAGTACGCTAAAAATTTTCTCCAAAGATATTTTTATGGAAGTTCTCTCCTGCTCTAACTACTGAAGTTACAAAGGGGACACAAGTGCTTTACCAAAACAAAATTAGGCACAAAATGTGAAAAAAGTCATCCCAAATTTATTCTCAAAAATGTCAACAGAAATGCATCAGTAGGTACTCAAAACTACAGAGTTCTTAAAAGTCATACATTCAATGAAGAAACTTGACAATTGGGATGCCTTTGGCATGTTCTATGTAACAATATCCATTTTACAGTGTAAACAGGTACTGGTGTGTTCTTACTTACAAGTCCAGCAGGAAAGGCACGACTTGGCAAAGGGAGATCATAAACAAAAAATAAAACAAAGGAACAAAAAAGTCAGGTGCAACATTACACAAACTTTTTGGTAATTTGCATTTTTGGGCCTTTCACAACTGCAACTGGACTTGAAGATTTCCTGCAGTCAGAAATTAGACTCCTTTCCATCATGCAGTCCTTTAATACCAAATGCTCAGTTTTCAATCTAGCTTTAGATTATTACATATACAGATCCAGCAGATGTCAGAGGAATAGTGAAAAGTTAGTCCACTAAGTCTTCAGATGCTCCCACTAATACATCAGGTTTTGGTTTGAGATAGTGCATGGAAGCATCTGCTTGAATCTCAGTTCATTACAGTGGTCATTATAGAAAAATAGACACTACATCTACAAAGAAAAAAAATGAGGTAGATAACTTAGAATCCAGAGGGCTATCCCAATAACCTTCATACCAAACACATGGATCATTAATGTTTTGGTGTAAATGCAAGTGCATGGACAACCAAGAAACATAATGACCAAAGTGGGAATTCCATCCAAAAACCCACAAAACATTAGACCTAAGAGTGAATACTTTGTATTTAAATATACAGGTTTACATAGACCAATCCTCTAAATTACCAAGGGGAAGAAAAGTTTCTCTTGCTAAGGAAACCAGTTCCAATGCCCAGATGCAACAGTTACCTGAAATTCCTTGCAGAGCTCACAGACTTAAAAAAAGAACAAAAACCAAAAAAAACCCCAACCAACTTTCCAGCAAGTATTCCTTTTTCCAAGGGAAAAAAAAAAGTATATACATACCCACCCATGCTTGTTTGGGACTCTTGGTATCAAAATAAAATATTTTAGGAGAAAACTGCACATCTTTGGGAATAGGCATTTTGGCACTGTACTTGAAGGGCTGTCCAAAGTAGGAGCATTAAATAAGCAGCAGTTAACAATACAGAGTATTAAATTCTTAGGAGCATTGATTAAAGAAGAGTTTGTACAGAGCTCCCAAAGCAAGAGATTTTTTTTTTTTTTTTTTTTTAAAAACGAACAAAAAAAATTGTCATTTTATAGCCATTAGAGTAAAAAGTACATTCGGAAAAAAAAAAAAACCAAAACAAGAACACCCACACAAAAACCCCCAAACAAAGTCTCTACTTCTAAAAGGGTGTCAGACATTCTAGAACATTTACCCGCATAATCACTTTTCACGTCTCATCAGTAAATACAAGTTTCCTTTCCAGTCAGTAGGTTGGCTGTTGCCACTCTGTTCAAAACCCCCAAAGATCAGTTTAAACAAAGAGGTAAATGTTATAACCTTTGGAATTTCAAGTTGTACAAACTTACGTAAGGCTGTACAAATTAAAGTAACAAAAACAAGAACTACTTTGCAAGACCCGCATCTTTCCAAATAGAAGGAATTCCTATTCATTATTATTTTGCAAAGCAACGTCATGATTGTACTCTGGGCAACTCTTACAAAGACAACCATAAAATCATTTGCACGTCAATAGGAAAATAGGAGGTTGAGGTGGAATCTCTTAAAAATATATATTTGCATTTCACCTTCACTTAAGAGTTTGTTTGTTTTTTTTGTTTTTGTGGGTTTTTTTTTCTTTCTTTCTTTCTTTTAGCTAACAGCTATTTTGTTCTCCTCCAGGAAGTGAGGAAATTGGTGTTTTGGCACATTGTCTGCAGCAGCACCACCATCAGCCTTCTCAATATCAGAGCTAATCCCAGACGGGGTCCCATCTATCTTGGAGACCGTAGCAGTATTTATTGCCGAACCACCCGCAACAGTGACTGGAAGGGTAGGTAAACCACCACTCTGAATTACTGAAATTTCATTAGTCTTCATTGTTATGCCATTGCTGAGTACCGCTGCATACTGATTCCATACTGTAGGATCAATGTTCACTGAAGGAGGCACTATATCCTTTGGAAACATGTCAGATACCTTCTTTGGATCATTTCCCAACAGGGCCATGGGATTATCAATGGAGAGTCTTCTTCCACGCCTGGCAGAGT